ACAGAATCAGATCCCGCAATTTCGCATGGCCGACGTTGGGATAGACGCGTCGAACTGTTTTTCAGGCTCTGCGCAGTCAATGGGTTAGCTGTTTGGTGAGCTAGCTCAGAATGGTTGTTTTGTCAGATTCTAATTTTGCATGAAAGAGAGTCAAAGAACACTAGCTTTTAACTGCCTTACTTTCCGTTTGCTAAATAGCAAAAATCAATTTGCATCGTGGTTTGGTCGTTGGTCTTATTTCTTAGCAACGTTTGCAGTTTACCTTTATATTTCGTTGTGCAGATTTCAGTTTGTAGTGATTCAGATTTCAGTTCACGGTAATTTGCCGATTCGTAGAAGGCAGGAACCATTGAAAACTCTGAAGCTGCTGCCTCCGCAAACAGAAAATTAAAAGGGGTCGCTGAAATTGAACGAATTACTGGATTTGTTGTCATCGAGCTTGAACCATGGGTGGGTCAACTTTGTTGACCGAAGGGCATTCGGAGTAATCTTAGTTACATCTAAACAGCATGGTAGTAAGTGACATTGTTACGGTTGTCCAAAGATCCATTTTTATTATTATCTGAGTGTTACTGTTTGACTGCGTCCTGGCTCATGTCATGTACAGTTAAAGTTTGTCTTACAAAAGAGATTAGACCTTTAACATTTACGTAAATTACGGTGTTCTAACAGCCCCGAAATTAATAACCGGAAATGGGAAACTCTGTAGGTTTTAGCCAGACAGTTTCAGTGTTCTCAGGAATGTTATTAATATAGCGCTAACACTAAGTTAAATCCAGTAGCACAGAATTGACAACGTTGGGGACACTGTTTAACGCGTGTGCTTCCGCGGCCGGCACAGATTAGTCGCCATCAAAACTGGCTGAGTAAATTCAAATATACGATATCCATGAAACGACTGTAGCAAACCACGTAAAATCCGTGATTGAATAAGAAATTTTGTCTCTGATTTTAACTGTACAGGGCTACTGGGAAGTGCGTTCAGGAATAAGACGGGCAATGTGAACTGTCTAAGGACAGAGTGTGAAAAGGTTACTCTTGTAATAGCAAATTCCTGAA